TTTTAATGGTGTGAATATTATTTTAMACACTTTCCAATTAGTATCTATTAAAATAATTATTCAGCATTGCGTAGTACAATGCCATATGATCTCTGGTGCACCCTGTAGGAAAATTCGCGGAGCTCGCTTCTGTATCGATTACTTTACACTGGAGTTCAAAAAAAGTTTTTTTAAATTTCCCTGTAGAAATTATTATTTTTAATTATTTTTTTAATTGAACTCCATTAACTATTGCTGCCTGTCTCTGCTTGTTTCATATTAGCAAATAATTTTTTCTAGTGGAAAAAAGATCGCTGAACCAAATGGTATTATCGAAGAGAATAATTTATAGAGATAAAGTTTGAGAGCGGGGGGTTGTAGGTTAAATTGTTAAGAATATTCTTAATCTTATACTTAGTCCGCTATGAAAATATTATTAATACGAAAACAAACTTTTACACCGCAGCTGTAATACCCTTCACAGCTGAATTTCTAATAGCAACTATATTCAAAATTCGATGTTACCCACGGTTTTAAAGAAAACAAGACAGAGATTCAAATTTAATGAAGAACGTTTATTATCATCTGAAAGAACATTCTTTGGCATTTATTTTTTGAACATTAGCTCTTTCAAATGTTGGCCGTTGCTACGCTTCAGATGGTTCATACGTTGAGACCAATTTTCGATGACTCGTTCGGGCATTTCCACAAGTAACTGGCGAATGACACGCGCGATGTTTTGCTCCAAGGTCTGAATCGAAGCGGGATTGTTCGCAAAGACCATAGACTTTACATATCCCTACCGGAAAAAGTCTAAGGATATGATATCACGCGATTTTGGTGGCCAATCCACCGGTCTAAAACGTAAAATTATCTGATCACCGAAGTGTTCTCTCAATAAATCCATTGTTTAATAATAATATACCAATAATTAATGGGTCTCAGCAAGATGAAATGCCAAACAATACTGTACAAAGAGTACATGACAGCTAGACACGACACACGAGATCACGCGTCAAAAAAGGCTATTGAAAAAGGTAACTCTACTTAGATAAAAAGACCCCAATGAAAAGATGAAAACAGCCTGGAAAACTCGGCTATAACCGCGTTAGTGGTGTTTACCACAAAAAGTTTGTATGGCGGCTATATGTTATAGTAATCCGAACTAAACTATTTCTTAAAAGATTGTATCGTTGGCCCTGATTTGACTCGTTTAGTTTGTATGGCATTAAAGCATTCTTTTAGTAAATATGTTTAATAAAAGAGTCGACTTTACTTACTTTTTCTTTTATTAAGATTTTTGAATTATTTTTTCTTAGACGTGTTGACTAGCTGTGAGGTTGATATACTATGGATATTTGGTTATTTATTACGTATGTAAAAGGGCATATTAGCAAAGATAGAAAATTATATGAAATGATGTTCGACTCAACCAAATATTAAAACAACCGCAAACATATTAGTTAATTTTTTAGTACTTTGCAATTTACGCATTTCTACTGTTAACAAAACCGTAATTATTAATGCGTGTATGTATATACATATGTATGTATACGTATATATATAGAATCAGCTCATAAAGCTTTTGCTTTCATGTGTATGTATGTCACCTTCGAAAATCATATATTTATTACCCTCCTTTGATATTGATTTTCTACCGTCGAAGTACATACTCGATTGAAAAATCTTATCGCTGAAAAACAAAGTTCATAACCTGCTAACTTATTGTTGCGCTGCAAGCACTTGTGAGAAGACAAGCCCCTTATTCTTATTCATGCAAATAAACCATACACATGCACTATATGATATGATATTTATGCGTGCGTGTGTTAGTGTAAAAATAGTTTATGCATCTTTTTATGTTGTGTGTGCAATTTGGTGTGTCTCGTCTTTTGCAAAAATTAAAAATCACTTATGTAATATGTTTTCAGGGTCTGTTGATCAGCAAATATTGGCTGATTTGATTTTTAAAATAGTCTGAAAAAATCAGTGAGTTTACAACAGCGCGCCAGACGTTCTTCCTCTTCGCTGTTTGGCACTTATTCGAGATTCCAAGTGTAGGCATGTCCTTCTCCACCTGATCTTTCCAACGGAGTGGAAGCCTTCCTCTTCTTCTGCTTCCCCTAGCGGTCACTGTGTCGAGTACTTTCACAGCTGGAGTGTTTCCATCTATTGGGACGACATAACCTAGCCACCACAGCCGCTGTCTCTTAATTCGCTGAACTATGTCAACGTCGTCGCTTATATTGTACAGCTTATCGTTTCATCAACTGCGGTATTCGCCGTTGAGAACCCGCAAAGGACTATAAATCTTCCGGAGTACCTTTCTCTCGAAAACTCATTAGGCCAACTCATCAGATGTTGTCATCGTCCATGCCACTACACCATATAGCAGGACTAGGATGATGAGTGACTTGTAGAGTTTGGTCTTTATTCGTCGAGAGAGGACTTTACTTCACTCCGCTCATTTCGGAGTAGTACCTGTTTCGAGGCTGATGTTGTTGTTGGTGTTAATAGTGGTACCAAGATAGACGAAATTATCTAGGACTTTGAGGTTATGACTATCGACAGCGACATGAGAACCGATTAGCGAGTAAGACGGCTGTTGGTTTGATGACAGGAGATATTGTTCACAACTAGATTTACACGCTTTGCTTCCTTATCCAATCTGTGCACTCTCAAAGGAGATTTACATGCTCTGCAGCTCGTATTATTTTCTCGAGCAATAGATGGAAGAAGTCAGACGACAGGAGTCGAAGAAGTCCTTCCCGATCCTGACGGAGCTATTGATGTTGCTCAACGTCCTTACATAGCCGTATTAGCTATCAGAGATACCAAGTTCTGGTATAGCCACACTGATAAAGTCCAATCAGTTGGTTGACGGTGATCTTTGACCTTTCACACAATACGCTCGATAGAACCTTATACTAGTATGCGATGTTGAGGAGGCTTATCCTACAGTAGTTGGCGCAGTTAGCCCTTTTTGTGGATTGGGCAGAGCACAGTTAAATTGCAATCGTCGGGCCTGCTTTCGTTCGATCATATTCTATAAAGAAGCTTATGCATGCTCCTTATCGGTTCTACGACTCTATACATGAATAGCAAATATTTATTATTGCCTTCAAACTAGACTCCTTTTGAGTCAAGGCAAACATGTCAACTTGAACCAACTTTCCACACATTTATTATTAGTTACGGCTGCGATGGCATTCAGCGCCTTAAACGAATTTTGATTTTGTCAGTTTCGGCTCATTTTTGGAGCGCCATTTTTGGACAGTTTCGATGTCATTATTAGCGAAAACACTATCACCAGTAATGCGTTTGGTGAATGTAGGATCTTTAGTTTCATTGTCCAGCATCTCTTTTGCGATGTCTACTTCACGTCGGTTTTGCAAAAAGATTCAAGTATTTTGGTATGAGTCTATCTTTGACTCGCTTCATACCAAAACATTAACCAAAGTTTGTTGAGTCGTGGTATAAGGTAAGTTTTGATCTTTTATTAACTCTCTGATGCCAACACAATGATTTCCGAGCACTGCCTCTTTAACATTTTCGATGTTGTCTCTATAAACCGAGGTCGATGGACGACTCCCATGAGGCATGTTGTCGCTGCCTTTTGGACCACTAGTAAATGTTTCGTGCCATTCAAATACTTGTTTTCGTGATAAAGTGGAAACGGCAAAATACTTCTGTAACATTTTCCATTCCTTGAAAACATAATATTTGAAGCCAACTCGTTGTTCAAATTTTTTCATTGTAAAAATCGACAGACAAACTTTTCGTGTTGTAAAGAAAAAGTTGCCAATCACCCAATAATTGCTATATGGAGATTTAACTTACCCCGCACATAAAAGAAGATTATACAAAACTAAGAAAGAAACATACTAAATATTGTATTTGGTTTGCACGTGCATTTTATTTTGACCGTGAGAGTCAATAATATTAGTGTTTCATAGCTTCTCAAGTTTTCAATATAGTAGTTATAAAGAATACTCCGAGTTTTATTCAAGCTTCTACATATAATAGACTACCTCCTGCGAATAAAATCTAATTTTTCATGCTTCTTACATAGTTGAGTGTACTACTTACATATATGGTATACTTTAAATATTGTTAACCACTTTTTTCACTGATTTGATAGTATGCTCTCGTGAACATACCCTTGGAATATTTTTTATTATATTGTATGTGTATATTGTATTTTTTCTCATTAATATTCACCATAAGTCGTCATCTTCATCCGGTTTCAAAAAGCTGCTAGGGGTTACTTTTCACACAATAATTCCGACAGCTTTTGTCGCGAAACACAATGAACATACTCAACTAAAAATGTTGAAATATGAAATAAGTTTGCCTGTATGTGCTACTAAGTGTATATCGTGATACTTCCGATGATCAAACGCGCGATCGCTGACACCTGCTCGTGTCCCCATTTAACCGATTAACACACATTCGCAAAGCGATCGCATATAATTTGACGGCGCGCCCAAGCCATACGACTGTGTAGCGAGTAGCGTATATAAATTCTACATTCGTATTGGCGTAACAAGGGTGAAAAATCTGTATGTGTGTGCGTGTGTGTTGGGTGAATGCGATCACACGAATGTTTAGAACAGTTAATTGACGACAAAAAACAACGGTCAATCGTTAATATCCACTCACTAAAGCAATCCAACGTGCCAACGAGCTGCTGACAAACTACCACTTTGCATAAGTGGAAAATTTACTGCGTGCGATTATAGTCGAGTTCGGTCAGTCATTCGGTGAAGTAAACGAAATATTTTGTGTAACGGCGCACCAATGTTCCTTTGTGTTGAATATGTGAGTGCAGTTAATGTGGTGCTTGAGGCAGAGCCTTAAGGATAATAAATGCAATTTTTGTGAATGAAATATTTTTAAAGAATTTTATATAGAACGAAATAAACAAATAAAAAATTTAAAAAATATATTTAAATAATATTTAAAAAAAAATTTATACAAATTTCTTATATGAAAATTTTCGTTTTTTTTTTTACCTACAGTTTACAATTGCACATCGAAGGTGTTCATAACATTTTGTGTTTGTGTGCATGCGCGCGTGTACATGTGTGTGTGCTTTTGATCCTTGCGCACACCTGATAAGCAGTTTCTAGTCGAAAAAGCAACGCGGTTCTGCCAAATTTCACTTCCTTGTATAACGTTTTACTTATCAAAGTCACAAATAAACAGAAGAACCCATACAAAATGACGCGACCGAAGGAGGATTCGAAGTTCAAAGCATTCATGCGAGAGAACTCGCTTACCATGCTCACAGTAACTGGTGTGTTCCTTGGCGGTTTTGTGGGTTTCATCATCAAGAACAGCACAGGCGAGTGGACGAAGCGTGAGATTATGTACATATCCTTTCCCGGTGAACTTTTCTTGCGGTAAGTATTAGTAATATAAAAAAAATATCGTTAACTTCGGCTGCATCGAAGCTATAATACCCTTCACAAATAAAAAGTTTTTCATACAAGAACTTGATTTCGGTCGATTTAAAAAAAATCTTGTCGAACAAAAAAGTTTTCTATTCAAGAACTGGGTTTTGATCGATTAATTTGTATGGCAGCTATAACCAATAGTCGCCAGATATTAGTGATTTTGATAAACAAAAAGCTTGTGTGCAAAATTTCAAATCAATATCTCAAAAACTGAGTTACGAGTTCAAGTATATACAAATAGACAGTCCTGACGAAATAAACTTATCTTATCACGGTAATCTTGTATATATATCTTTTTTTGTCTTTAAGTCCATGTTAAACTTGTATAAACTCCATTTTTATTAGGTTAAGTCATAGTTTTGCTAAAGGTCTAATTTTTAGACTACCAGCTGAAAAGACGTACTTAAAGATTCAAGGAGTTTATTAGGATCTGGAAATATTAGTTCTTAAATCATCTCTTAGGACTTAGTGGTATTATTTAGCGACAACTAGCTAGCTAGCTAGTCAGCTAATTTTAGTTTAGAATTTAAGAAATGCACATCTGAAGTTCTGCCACTCAAAAACGTGCCATGAATCGTATACGTATATGCTATAGAGATCACATAAATGAGAAACTGAAAAAACCTTTTGGAAATTTAAATTTTCCATTTCATCAATCAACTTTTCTGTCATTACATATTTATGAGCCGAAACCTTAGTCTTTATCCATAATAGTTATAACAGATTATCCTAAGATTTTCTTAGACCTCCAACTAAAACAAATGTTCTACCATATTTTTTAGCATGCTGAAATGCTTAATTGTGCCATTATTGGTTTCATCCATAACGAGTGCCATTGGTGGACTCGATCTGAGTATGTCGGGGAAGATTGCTATACGGTGAGTAAGCACGAAATGCATGTAAACCCCTATACGATTTTCATATGTTTTAAAATATGTTCTTTATAGCGCCAACGCTTATTATTTTCTCACAACAATCTCTGCCGTCGTTTTGGGCATTTGTCTGGTAACAACAATACGACCTGGACAAGGTGCAAAAATTGTGGAAGTGCGCACTGAATCTGTGGATAAAGCATCGAAAGTTCTAACGCCCGATACGCTTATGGATTTAGTGCGGTAAGGGGTGATAAGAAGCGTGAGAGTATTTTTTGAATAATCATATTATTTTTCAGAAATATGTTTACGGATAATATCATCCAATCGACAATGTTTCAGGTAAGTAACTATATACATATGTATATATGTATATTTTAATACATCCGGTCGCTAAAAAGTCGAATGTATATATCTCTTGAGCCACCTGTAGTACAGCGCCAGTACTGACGGTGTGAAAATGGATGAAATCGCAGAATAATCCCGGTCACTCACTAAGCGCAGTAAATAAGTAACGAAACATGACAGAGACATTAAATTTTACACCCGAGATGGCATGAGAGATAGCTTTATGGGAGTAGGTGTAAAATTTGGATAATGGCAGTGGAACCGCCCACTTTTTGGTGGTCACATATCTCGGTACCCTACCGATTAATTTCGGCTAAATTTATTTATTTTTTTCATATTCCTATATGATATTGTGAAAATAGGCAAAATCGGGCTACAACCACGGCTACTTCTCATACAGCACAATTTTCAATTCCATTTGATTCTTTCACTTTCCAGCATACAAATGAATATAAAATTGATAGAAGGGATACAACATTGCACTAATGATTATTTTAAAGTACTCCACCTGATGCTGATTGTTCAAGCCCCTTTGTATTGAATATGTGGTCTCAGTGCTTATGATTGACTTTTGACCGAAAATATCGGTCAATGTGTGAGATATATAATTGAAATTCAGGATAATCCTTCTCTGATAATAATTTGTCTGTATGCCAAAAATGGATTGAGTCGTATCAAATCTTCCCTGAGCCCCCATATACGTAATATAAAGATTTGCAAACTTCCGGATTACGTTATATTACATATATCGGGCATTATTTGAGTTATCGCAATGAAAATGAGGGGGCGTGTTTTACTTATAACAGTATAGCCGATCCCCTTTATAACTAATATCAAGATTTTGGAACATGCTGTTGACTTTACTCGACATGATTGGTGCTGTATGTGAGGGTCCTTAATGAAACCCAAGGAACCCGATTTTAGCCTGGAACTTAGGCTAATACGTATAATGATTTTCGTTTTTTTGTCAAATCTTATACCGAATAGCCTCCGGTTAATGTTTTGCACTATCTGAGATGTAGCCGCGCCCAATATTTGAAAGAGATAGTCTTCAAACAATAAATGCCAAAGAATGTTCTTTCGAATGATAATAAACATTTCCCAATAAATTTAAAGTTTCTGTATTTTTTCTTTAAAAAAGTAGGGGACCTCAAAATGGATCAAATTCCGATCTTTTGTCTGACGTTTTGTACCTTAAGGTATTTCCCCAGCTTTGCTTCCTGCAGGTTGCAAGTAGAAAATGTTTGGCTGCACCCGTACATAGCCTTTCCGTACTTTTTAGTGATAATATGGTGGGATCGAGCAAATATGAGTGTTAAAAATTATATTGTAATATTATATGTAAAATACATTGTAATTAGGAAATAACACTTAATTAGCAATACTCTCTCATATTACACACTATGCGATAAAAGTATGTGCCACAAGCATAACTAAGTAACTCGTATATAATTCTGCCCCCATCAACTCAGCTAAATATATTACAAATAAAAAAAATATATATATACGAGCTAGTGGTACACAAATAACGGTATAATATTAGTGCACATGCGAATGGCGAATCTGCACTGCTATCAATTTATTTACAAATTATCCAATTTACGACCGCATGCTTAATTTAACCGAAGTTGATAGTTAGTGGAAGAATGTCGAAATTTTAAAAATAAAATACCAAACACGCACAAATAAATCAAATTGGAATTGCTTAGCAAGAATTGTGAAAAAGTTTACAATTATGTATGTGGAATAATACAAGTACTTACGTAATTTGAGTGTAAGCGCTCGAATGTTGTATTATATTGCCAAAGTTAAGATTGTCTAGCGATTGCCTTCACTTGTGAAATGTTGAGATAACTTTTAGATTTTGTAATTGTACTATAACTTGAGCACAAACAAATTTCAAGTGCTTTATACTTCTTAGAGATAATCAGTTATGAAATTAATTATTACGAATAGATCCATTTTTTCTGATACAAGGAGTTTTGAAGAGAAAATTGTAAATATTTTGATACAAATAACCTTCAAGTCTTATATCATTTCAAGGTCGCCTACTTCACTAAAGAAAAAAACAAAAATGGGCAATGTTTATTATTATTCGAAAGCATAGACTTTAGACTTTACACATCCCCATAGGAAAAAGTCTAAATGTGTGATATCACACGATCTTGGCGGCCAATCGACCGACGCAAAATGTGAAATTATCTGCTACCCGAAGTGTTTCCTCAATAAATCCAATGATCCATCATAGCAAACTTAATTACTCCGTTTAGGGTATAAAAAGAAGTAAAGAAATATGAATATTTTGGGATTACTTAGATTTAATGATTTCTCATCCGAATCACAGCTTTATTTTCCGAATTTTACTTTGTTCCATTCTTTCCTTTTACGTAAACCTTCACTATACCTTACTATTTCCGTCCGCAGAAGACAAAAAAATTCGCCATTATGCAAATGTTATATACATATTTACAAAAAAAGCTTCTACTCACCCTTTCACATGTAGATTTGATCTCATCATGTATTGTGATCCCATTTACATTTTTCACCCTATGAGTAGCTAGTGCTTAGTAGACTGCCTGTTGTGCTATTTATTTGTTCATATCGTATTACGAGTACAAATTGAATTACTTAATCAACATAATATCCAGCTGGCGCATGATCAGCTCTGATACAATAATGTAATTGGTTTGTGCTTTGTAGGCATCTCATCTCAATTTCCGAAACGGATATACTGGAGATTAGTGTGAGCAATAATAACAAAGGCAAAATGGTGTGGTCAGAAATCTATATATGTTGCGAATTTATTTAAAGTTAAAATAATTTTGAATAAAATACTGGCTACTCTTTCAAACTACAAAGAAGAAGAGCCAAAGAAGTGCCCGTAGTGCGTCGAGAATATTGCAGCCGCTAGTGCATCAATTGAGGAAGACTCAAAGCAGTCTCCCACACGTCTTTCTCAACCGTTCGACATCTCTGTAAAGTCGTTGTGGCGAATTTTGTGAAAATATCTTGGCCTACGTCGTTACAAGATCAAATTGACCCAAGAACTGAAATCGATTGACAACCAGAATCGTCGAATGTTCGTGAATTGATCTGAGCGACAATTTGACAATGATCCAGATTTTCATCGACGAGGTCCATTTCTGGTTGAATGGGTTCGTCAATAAGCAAAATATTCGCTATTGTTCAGTCCGCAATCCGTTAGTCACCATTGCGTTCCGGTTTACGGTTTGGTGCGGTTTATGGTCCGAAGACGTCATTGGCCGTACTTCTTCAGTAATGATCAAGACCGGCACGTTACGGTGAATGGGAATCGCTATCACTCAATGAGAACCGCATATTTTTGGCCCGAATTGGAAAATATGGACTTGAGCTTGCACAATATGTGGTTCCAACAGGACAGCACTATAAGCCACATATCAAATGTCACAATCAATTTCTTGAAAACAAAGTTTGGTGAATGTGTTATCTCACGAATTGGTCGCGCGGTCGTGCGATTTGACGCCGTTTGACTATTTCCTGTGGGGCTACGTCAAGTATATGGTCTATGTTGAGCTCCATACATAATGGTATCAAATGTACTTTCACATCAATAACGAATTTCATTGATATCCCAAACCGCTTTTGTAGCGCTCTTATTGAAAAACACTTTATTATATATAAGGTCACCATTTTGACGCTGACTATAATATATAACTGACAAATAAATCAGAATTGTTTTCGAGTAAGGCTCCTCAGAATGCTTAATCCAATTTCCATAGGCTTGTTTTGAGCCTCGACTGGAATGTCCTTCAGTGCCATAACGATTAACTTTTAATTGATTTAATGGAAGACGCGTTTCTCGAGACAGATTTTGAAAACAGGGAGCCAAGTCCGGCAAATACGGCGGCTGAACGATGAGTATCGTTCGGTGTTTAGCCAAAAAGCCAAAAATACGATCATTTACGAAGTAATGATACACCTAAATGCTTTAAAACGGCCAAATAATATACCGTATTGACCGTTTGACGCTTTGGAACGAATTTGTTTTGAACCATGCCACAGTAACCAGAGAAAATGATGAGCATACCTTTGACTTTGATTCGACTTTGACTCAGTTTATTCGATTTCGGCTAAATTTTGGAGCACCATTCGCTCGATCGTTAGACAGTTTCAACAATATCTTCATTAATCCACGCCTCGTCAACAGTAATGTTGTCTTTGATGAGTGTAGCGTTCTCGGCAACGTGACAAATATATTTTTTTCGATCTCTACTCGATGTCGTTTTTGCAATTTTATACTCGAAACATTAACCAAAATTTATGGAACACATAAAAAAGTTGACTATCATATTTTAACCCGCATTTTATTTTCCAGTATCGCACGGAAATTTTCGAAAACACGAGTATAAGTCCACCAGGTAAGTGATTGGTTATTAAAAATATGTTTGCATGAGACTTAAAATCACACAATTCTTTACAGTACCGATGGAGGAGTGGGACTTTAAATCAGCACAGCGTGAGGGCTCGAACGTACTTGGATTGGTTATGTTTAGTGTAATTTTGGGCACAACAATCGGTCGTATGCGTGAAAAAGGTCAATTGCTACAAGACTTTTTCACCTCACTAAGTGAAGCTATGATGACTATAACATCCTGGGTCATTTGGTAAGTTTGGCAAGAAGTTAGATGAAAGTTTCGTTAAAGAAACATATTTACATTGACAGTAAAAATATTTTTGATATTAACTTTTTTCTAATAGGATTTCACCGCTCGGTGTGGGTTTCCTTATAGCTGCCAAAATTATTGAAATGGACTCAATAGCAGCCACTATACAATCTTTGGGTTGGTACTTTATAACAGTAATGCTGGGTTTGTTCCTGCACGGCTTCGGTGAGTTAAAATTTCGTTCGGTTTCAATTATACTAAATCTATAATCCCTTTATAGGTACGATTGCTGTGATATTCTTCTTGGGAACTGGCACACTACCTTATCGTTACATTGCCAAATTGAGTCAAGTCTTAGCCACTGCTTTTGGTACGGGCTCCAGTTCGGCCACCATGCCACTTACCATTAAATGTCTTGACGGTATTGGTATCGATCCGCGTGTTACACGTTTTGTCATCCCCGTCGGCGCTACAATCAATATGGATGGTACGGCATTATATGAGGCCGTGGCTGCGCTTTTCATTGCGCAATATCGTGAGATGAGCTATTCTTTTGGCAATATTGTTGCGGTTAGTATTACGGCTACGGCCGCGTCGATAGGTGCCGCTGGTATACCACAAGCCGGTCTTGTAACTATGGTGATGGTGTTGGATACTGTGGGACTGGAGCCGAAGGATGTCTCGCTGATTATAGCTGTCGATTGGTTGCTGTAAGTTATCGTGTTTATAACTCAATCCTTCTTTTATGCAAACAGGCGGTATTTCGCTGGGTTATATAAGATTGGGTGAATTGAGGGAACAAATCACTTTATATTCCTTTTCTAAAGTAAACGTATATTAACCAGACCTTACAATATATGTATATGGCGCTCAGGAGTTTTTAATTTATGTTAAGTAAAGACAGTAGATTAATTTATGATATGAGAAGTACTCTTTGAAATAAACTCATATAATACGATGGCCTGCTCACAAATTTGTCGAGAGATTTATCCTTAGGATTTCATAAACAATTTTCCTAGCTTGTTCCACCCTAAAACCTTGAAATTTGATTAGAATGTTCCAAATAATATAATCTAGTTAGTGTTAAAACTAAACCTCGAGAATTAATATAGAATTATTCTCGGAAGAAGGTTGTAAACTGCATAAATATTTTATAGGCAGATTCTAATCTAAAACCCAAAAATTAATATGGAATCCTATGAAGAGGTAAACCCATATTTCCGTGGCCGACAGTTCCAAAAGCAAAACATATTCATCGACGGATCAAAGGGTGAAATCGGAACAGAAGCAGGTAGTAATTCATATCCGTATACAGAAAATAGATTTAAAGTAAATTACTAATATACAACTCAGTCTTTGAGTCTAGAGCTGCTCTAACCTGCAAGTTCTTGAACTTTATGGGCATAGCCAAGTGGCCTTAATTGGTTATCCGTAGCGCCAATATTAAGTCTCACTGCGTTAGGTTATGTAAGCAATAAATAAGTATACCCTGAGTAGATTAATATTTTATGGATACCTGACCATAAAGGAATAGAAGAAAAGAGGAAAGCAGACGAGTTAGCCCGATAGAGGACCAATTCGCCTAAGCTGCTATTCAGCTCTTTCAAGGGTTGATTGAAGTAATGGATCCCAGAGAGCACCTCAGGTCTAGGAAAGTTTGAAATACAGGGCATAAATCAAAGTTATTTTGGTGTAGTCTTGATGGTGGACAGACCAAAAAGCTCGTTCTTTTAGTCAAAAAGTAGCTTATTAACACTGTGATGGTCATCATCTACCCTCAAGATACTCTCAGAAAATGGAAATGTTGCTTCAGCGAAACGCAGAGCGCCGAGAATGATGAGACGCAGAAATATTCTCTATGCGAATGCCCAGAATTCAGCCGGATAAGACGAGGCATACTCCACGGGTCCCCATGCGCCAACCTAAGATACATTAGTCAGGTTAGGTGGAAAAAATAAGATGTTTTACCAAATCCACTGAGTTGGTGGATTTGGCTTCTTTTGGTTATCACCTGGGAGCCTAATGATCGCCTAAGTGCTGTCTGGGGCTCACGCACTTCCTCTTTTCAACCAACCACCAATCAACCGAGAGTTCAAGATTTTAGGAAAAACAATCAGTCTCTCTATAATAGTTTAGTATAATAAAAAAAAGAACTATGAAATAATTTCTAACTTCATCCTTTCATGTTATATTTTGAAAGGTTATGAATCTGTCCACTGCTCACTTTTGTTTATTTTTAATATCTTTACATAGGGATCGCTTCCGTACCACCATCAATGTCATGTGTGACGCCTTGGGCACCATTTTGGTTAATCATCTATCGAGAAACGATTTGCAAAGCGTCGATCGGGTAAGCCAAAATACCCAAAACATATAATATTAAAATAAAAATAAAAAATAAAAAAAATTTGTTAGAAAAAGTAATAAAATTATGAAATGAAACAAAAGTTAAAAAT